CTGAGCAAGAATCGCTTCCTCGTTTTTCAAAGTCTCGTAGATTTGAGTCTTCCAGACTCCAAGCGTCTCCTGAATGTTTCGTACTTCGTAACCCACTTCGTTTAATGAGATACACTTCATTTTCTCTTCCGCGGCCATTACCGCTCCTCTTTGTTTGGATGCCATGCTCTAATAAAGGATGGAAAAATGTTCGCAATTCCAGTAAAACTCACTGCAACAAAGAGTCGCTTGCATGTCGCCATTTTGGATCCAATGACAGAAAATAGTGGTGGGGATACATCTATTTCGTCGTATCGAGCGCGACTTACTTGAGTTAGTGCTACTGCGGGCTTCCGTATCGTCTCCCCCTCCCTCCTTGTGCTCTGCGACTTCAAGTAACTGTGCCACCTGGCGTTTAAATGCCTGTATTACAAGTCCAAATGAAATGAATGCAATAATTTACATCGAACCTTAATTGTGTACTGTATCAACCTTCGGCGGGCCGGATTAAAAAGACCAACGGGCCGGATCCGGCCCGCAGGGCGTAGTTTGCCCATGTCTGGGCTATGTTGATTCTGCTGGTACTTCTTGCGCGGAAGTCTCTCTACGGTTTTGTGTAGACATCATTTCGGATGACTACACTTGGTTAGATATCAACACTGGAGACGTTTTCTTTTCAGTGTGTTCGCAAGGTCGCTACCAATATACCGCTGAACTCTCAAGGTGCCTCTGCGACGGTGAAGCTCCACCTGCTTTATTTATATGGCCACGGAACACTGTAACCTTCCACACAAAATAGTTCCAAACAAGTAACAATCGCGTCAGTTTCAGCTTGAGTCGAGCTGTGGACAATGTTGACAGGCTTGCATGCAGTAGCCATACTTTTAGCTATGGCTGAAGCAAATTTGTTCTTCGTCGTGTCATCCATTTTCTACGCTTTGAAATGATCCGTAGCTGTCTGTCTGAGACGAGGGGGCGGAGTACTCAGATCAGCTGTGTGCTTGGCCATTAAGTGGTATTTCAGACTCGATGTGCAATGTTGATAGCTCAGTTTACGACTGCAAAACAAACAGGTAACTTCGGTCTTGTCAGTGGAGCAACCTGGCAACTTTTTCAAAGTAAACTTTCCATTCATAAACTCTTTAAGTATCCGTTTTCGGTGTCTTGCGCTGCCGTGGCTGGCAAAACAAATGTGTGTGGACCATTGCAGCGTGCTTGTTGTTTTGTTTCTGGTTTATGTATAGAGCAACGTAACATCCGCTGTGTGCAGCGTTAATCTCGCGTTTTGCAGTCATAAACTGAGGTGTTATCATGGCACGTTGAAGTCATTGCTAAATGTATGGCTACTGCATGCAACCCTGTCAACATTGTCCACAGCTCGACGCAAACTGAAATGATTCGCATTGCATCTAACGACTCCTCTACGGATTGCTAGCGAGAGCCTCCATTACAAGCTGTGTATAGAGATTGTATGTAGCGGAGAAGGCAAAGGTACACCAAGCGGGAGAAGACACTGTTTTGAGAGAGAAATGAGAGACTAGAGGGGTGTTCACACGGCAACATTTGCTCCGGTGCTACGGAAAACAGCTTACACCTGAGCAAATTTGATCCACCTCAGGGAGGTGGTTCGAAAATTTGCTCTGGAGCAGCACCAATGTAAATTTGCACGTGTGAACACTCCAATTTTCTCCGGAGCAAATGCTCGTTTGCGTCGGGGGGAGTAGCCTCGCTACGCATGAGAAGAGTTGATTACGTACGGCGAGAATGCGTTGCTTTCGTGCTCTGTTGGACTTCCGTCATGTGTTTGTTTAATAACGACACAAGACATGGCTGCTAACAGTAGCAAGCACCTCTTGGGTTATACCATCCCAAATAGAACGCGGGGGGATAGTCCCCAAACGTCATCTTTCCTTTTGTAGGAGACTGGACTGTCTCTGAGTTGTTTGTGTAGTTTGTTCCTTTGTTGTGTATTGACAACCCTCCGCCCCCCATATAATTTATTTTGTGATTTCCTCTCTTGATTTTCTGTTTGGCACGTTACATGTTTGCTTTTCTGTGTGTCATTGAAGTCATCGTTGGTTTACGTTTTCAGGGGCGGTCACTCTCGAGCTGAAGGCATGGAGACCGAGAAGGAGAAGGGCGTTCCTGTACAGTAGTTGCTTGAGTTGTGTTTGAATTTTAAAAAGAACCAACATGACAGCTCAATTGTTTTCTGTCGTTTTACTCTGCTGCAGAAACTGCCGTGTGA